TTTTTGGTTTTTCTCCGGTACCGGGAACCGAACTCATGACCTTGCACTTGCCAGGCAGGCGCTTTTGCCGCTGAGCTAAATCCCCAGCCCCCTAGGTATTTTATTTTATTTTATTGAGACAAGGTCTTGCTCTGCAGTTCAGGCTGGCCTTGAGCTCACTTTGTAGCCCAGGCTGGTCTCGAACTTGCAATGATCTTCCTGCCTTAGCCTCTGGAGTGCTGAGATTACAGGTATGTGCCACCACACCCGGTCCTTAATAGGTATTTTAATAATTCTAGTGTTATATTTTCTTTCCAGTCTGAACAGATTGATATGTATTGTAATGGGAGTTTTCTCCCCTTTTTTATCCTTAGTGCTGATAATGCATGCTTGAGAGTGAATAAATAAGAAAATAAATGTAAAGTCATAAATGAAGGTCTCAGGTTGAAATAGTCAAATATATAGGACACAAAGGATTTTATGTGGTTTTGTTTTTTTGTTTGTTTGTTTTTTTTTTTGTTTGTCTTTTTGAGACAAGGTCTTGCTATGCAGTTCAGACTGGCCTTGATCACTTCGTACACAAGGCTGGTCTTGAACTCGCAATGATCCACTTGCCTCAGACTCCCAAGAGCTGGGATTACAGCCATGTGCCACCACACTTGGCTTCACAAAGGACTTTAATCTAGCATAGGGTTTGCTTAGCTTTATAGAAGTGTGCTGAGTGGTACACAAAACATGGGTCTTGTTATCATTTCACTGAACAGTCTAACAGGTACTAAATCTCATACATTATATCAACAACCCTATACACCTTTTATGGTTTATTCAGATGGGACTTGAGGGGTGCGTGTGTGTGCATGTATGTGTTCTTGACACAGCAGCAGGAACATCAGGTTGCCTGTGTGCTCTGACATGGTTACAGCCACGTGGAAATCATGGCTTTCTGGTTTTGAGGTAAGGACATAGGTCAAGCGTGTGCAGGAAATATGGTACGTTCAAGTCTCTGTACACAATACTTCACTTTAATCTTATGTTAGTAGGCTCTCGGTATGCAGTTTGTGTAAAGACAACCCAAGACCATTTTTAGGCCAGCCTGTAAATGTTGTACAATTGTTATTTATTTATTTACTTGTCAAAAAATTATAATCAGATTGAGAGAATGTGGCAAGGCGGTCATGATGGAATAGAGATTGCACGTTAAGTTTATTATAATGACGCTTTTTTGGTGTGGATCAGAATATGGCAGGAAATCCTTGATAGGATTCCTTTATTCAGAGAGCTTAGATAACTTTTTGTGGCAAAAAAATATGGTCCACCCATGAGCCATTTGGCATACTTGATGCAGGATATATCTCAGCTAGCTCTGGGTACCCTGACATTCCAAATCCCTCATCCCCTTTGTAGCTGGCTCCCCAAGTGCACCCTTGTGGTGGGTGACTGAGAACTTTTGCAGACAGCTTGTGATTACACACAGATAGGGGTAGAGTGGATGCATATTGAGAAAAGATCAGAAAGAGCCACACACTCCATCGCCTGCCTGACTGGTGAAGTGTTTCTGTCCCAGAGCCAGGCAGTGAAGGCTGCAGGGGATGTTCTCCTCAAGTGCAGAGAACCATGCAAGAATTCAAAGAACATGAGAGATCAAGAATGGAAATGTGGTACCATCCAAGGAACATAGTATTTTTCCAATAACTAACCTCAGTGGAATAGAGATACACAATTTTCTTGAAAGAAGTGTTGAAAGTAATTGTTTTAAGAAAGCTCACAAGTTATAAGGAATGTAGATGGATGGCACAATGAAAGAAGAAAACAATATTTGAATAGATTTTGAATTTTTTAAAAACCAGAAATTCAGAAGCTAAATGAAATATGCAATAAAGGGCAAAGGTACACTAGATCAAGCAGAAGTAAGACTATCAAAGTAAAATAGATCATTTTAAGTTATCCATCAGAGAAGAAAGAAAAAAAGAATTAATAAATGAAGAAAACCTATAGAATTTAAGAAAAACCATCAAGAGAACTAATACAAGGATTAGGGGAATTCCTGTACGAAAATAAAGAAGAAAACAGAAAGTTTACAGGCACAATGGATGAAAACTTCTCAAATCTGGAAAGAGACATGGACATTAAGCGACATGGAGTTCAAAGACTCCAAATATATTAGATCCCTAAGATACATCATAATCAAGCTATCAACAATTAAAATCAAGCAATCACCAACAAATAAAGTTACTTTGCAACCACCAGTGTCTTACCTGTGGATCACAAGGAAAAAATTTCCTATGTTATTATTATTTGCACTTCATTTTGTTGGATATTTTTGAAAACTTTGATATTAAAAGAAAGAATTCTGAAAATGGCAAGAGAAAAAAAAATCACATATGAGAAAACTCTCATAAAGCTATTAAGACATATTTCTCTCTCTCTCATTAGAAACCTTCCAGACTACAAAAGAGTGGAATGATATATTTGAAAGTGTTGGAAGAAAAAAGTACTCCCAATAAAGAATATTTTACCTAAAAATGCTCCTTCAAAACTGAAGGGCACTATCTTTACTCCAGTGTATAAACAGAAGTGGTGGGGCTGGGGATTTAGCTCAGCGGCACAATGCCTGCCTGGCAAGCACGATGTTGTGAGTTCGATTCCTGGTACCGGAAAAACAAAAAACAAAAAACAAAAAACAAAAAACAACGAAACAAAAATAAAATAAACAGAAGTGGTGAGAATAGAGACACCCTCATCTCATTCCTGATTTTAGAGGAAATGTTTTCTGTTTTTCCCATTTGTTATACAGGCTGTGGGTTTAACATATATAGAGACTTCATTATTTTGAGGTAAGATTCTTGTTTCTTCAGGACTTTTTTCATGAAGGAGCGTTGAATTTTCTTTAATGTATCATTGAGGTGATCTTTTCTTTCTTTGATTCTGCTTATTTTGTATATCACAGTTATTGACTTGCATATGTTGAACCAATCCTGCATTCCTGGAGTGAAACCAATTTTATAGTAATGCATGATCTTTTCAATGAATTTGTTGAATTTTATTTCTAAGATCTTATTGAAATTTTTTTGCATCTGTGTTTATCTAGGATTGGTCTACAGTTTTCCTTTCTCTGGAATTTTTACCTGTTTTTGGTATCAGGGTAACACTGGCTTTGTAGACTATGTCTGGAAGCATTCCTTTCCTTTCTGCTCTATGGCATGGTTTGAGAATTGATGTTAGTCTTCTAATTACATGTCCACTAAATTTCAGCAGTAAATCCATACAGCCGTGGGCTCTTTCTGTTGGGAGACTTTACTACTGCTTCAGTGTCATTGCTTGTTATTGATCTGGTGAAGTTTTCTACTGACACTCTTTGTTCCATTTGATAGCTTGTATGTATCAATAAATGTTATATATTTCTTCTAGATTTTCCAATTTATAGGAATAAAAACTTTCAAGATAATTCCTCTTTT